AAGTTTTGCTTACGTATTACTTGATTACCCCCTTAGCTTACTTGTCATAATTTATTTTCCGATTTATGTATTTTTGCTAATATTAAAAAATATTTTGATAAAAATTTGCTATATTGAGTCTGAAATCGTTTCATAAATGTACCTACATAAGTCTACCACTTAACTACTTATTAAAAAAATTATTTGCTTTATTTATAGCCTAACTAATATAGGTACTTAACCTTTTACAACATGCATTAGATTATGCATTTTTTTTAGATTTAATCAGACTACGGCAAAAAAATCGGCTTATCTTATTTTAGCATCTTTCTAAGTAGTAAGTATTTTAAATCTCGATTTACATCAACAACTTGCCCTTGTGGGGTAAATATTGTATAAATAATTCGTGAGATAATTTGTTATTTGAGTAAAGTTTGCGTGTGTTTATATAAATGTCTCAATTTAAATGTTAGTTTAAAATATATTATAAAGAATTCAGTCAAAAATAATTGGTTTTGAACGACATAATCAATATTGTATTAAAATTAAGTAGATATAGAAAATTTCCTGTGCATAAGCAAAAAACCCTTTTCAAATATTGATGTCGATCTATGTGTCCTTGTTGTTGTTGTTTTTATTCTTTCCCGATTCAATGCTTAGCGCTCAGACCGGGATAAAATTGATCTTTTATTGTGTTTGTGTGGATTGGCACCGGATTAACTTGGGTTATCCTGGATGCAAGGAACACTTCGCCCGACTCGTTATCCTCGAACGGGATTTTTATGAACATGCCAGGGGTTAAGATTTAGTTAATGTTTATTTTGGATTACAAAAGGTTATCCCTTACACTTTTTATAATAGTTACAATCCTAAAACAGGCATTGGACACTATAGAAAGGGTTTTTTATTTTGAGCAACAAAACTTTTAAATGAGACACAAAAATAACTACTTGTAAAAATTCTTTTAGCTTAATTTTATTTTGAATAAAAATTGATGACATTATGTTTTAATAATACTATCGTTTAAATGTTCCCGACCACTTTTTTACACATATCGCGTGTTATTTTTTCAATGGTGTATTTAATGTTTTATTCAAGGTCGGCTTTTATTTGCTGAAGAGCTCATTTGGCGAAATTTCTACGCAAATAATCATTTGGCATCAATTCTTAAGTCATTTTAACATTATAAGCCTTAAGATAAAGATATTTACTAAATTCTTCACAAAGTCATCTGAAAAAGGCCAAATTCTTAAGAACGACGTGGAATAGAGAAGTTTTGATTATCTCCTACACATTGGCAATGGCATTAGCAAAAATTTTTTTTTTCGATTACATTTTAAAAATTATATTACCTACTTAATTAATTTTGAAAATTGTTAAACTTTTTCTGTTTACTACCAGATGCTGGAATCACTCGAAAATGCATCAGTCGTCATTTACAAAATTCACAAACGAATAAAGACATTTTACAATATCATTAGACATGACGATAAAGATTCGAATTTCTCTTAAACTCTTTATAATTAACTTTTTGGACTGAAAAATTTAAATGATATTCAAATTTGAGACTAAAAAATTAAATCAAGAAAATTCCGAGTCACTGCAAGTTGTCTATTTTTTATTTAAAATTAGCACAAAAAGATATTTTAATTAACTATTACCGATTTTTCATAAAAAATATGCGAATTTGCCAAATAATCTTTATAAATCTTTTTAAGTAAACTCTTTCGTCCACTTTATTAAAATCGATTAGCTGTTAGTCGGCATTAGTAGCAGCTTTAGTCAGCATTAGTGCACAGAAAAAACGCTAGCATAGCATGAATGGGTGAGCCATTAAACCAATGGGATCTTGTAATCCGTATTCCTGAATAACAGTTCCTATAATACCAATAGGTAGTTGGCACTTGGTTTATTATCGTTTACTGTTTTTAAATTAACAACAAAAGTTATCGCTTCTAAATCTATTGATATTCTTATTGATATTTATTTGTTAGAATGGTAGAATGTTATTGCATTAAATTCTAATTTGATTTATTTAATAACGTTACTATTGTATGTATACTATGTATACATTTAACGCAATAAATTCTTTGACATTTAGGCAAAATATTTCCCTATTTTGGTTTAACAGTAATTAATTGAGCAAATAACAATTTAGATTGCTTCAATTTTAATGCATTCAATGAAAGCGCTGTTCTTGGTACCATGTTAGATTTTTTTCTGTGTGGGAGGATAATAAAACTTTTGAAAATGTTGACTAGTGAATTCACTTTCGTATCTATAACAATCTTTAACTAAATAATTTTTGGAAAATGCCGATCTTTTTTAAAATAAGCAAAACAATTTTCCATTCATTCACGAAAAAAACGCAACACCCAGGACGAATTAAAATATTTTAATGAAATTTACAATTTATTATTTAGTAATTGTTATTAAATGTTTAATATGTCTAGAGTACAAAGAAGAAATAATTTTAGTCAATTAAGCGAGTTTGATAGGGGAATAGTGGGCCTACATGAAGCCGGAATTTCGTTTCGAGAAATAAAGCGGCGATTACATCAAAATGTGACTACTTTGATGCGTTGTTGACAGTCATTGAGTGAATAAGGCAGAAGACGGCGGATGATTGGGTATAAGTTTTTTGTCGATAAAGGCAAACCACAGTCACGCCGACTGGTGTATGGAACGTCAACAGTGAGATGAGGAGTGAGATCAACTCCCAGAGATACAATGATGAAGTTTTGGAGCCATATCTTCTTCCATACATAAAAAGAACTACAACAACAACTAATTTTTTAGCATGATAATGCTCGTCCACCTATTTTCAGACACACATTAAACTTTTTAGAAGCCTCTAATTTGAAATTAATGCCTTGGCCACCCAGATCTCCAGACCTTTCCTCAATCGAACATGTGTGGTATATGATGGGACACCCTCCACAGAATCATCAAAATCCCGATTTCCACTTGCAACACCACGATCGAAATTATTTCTTTCATAACCGCGATTGTTCCTATCGTAACTACGATCACGGCCGCCCCTGCTGTTACTACGGTCGCAAGCATACCTTTCTTGGCTTTGATCTCGGCCGCTTCTCTTGCAACTCCTATTATGCTCGTTGTGATTGTGATTGTTCTTATAATTATCGTCCTCTTCGATATCGTACTTACGGCGATTTTTGTTGTATCTTACAATTTCCCTACAGTCTTTATTATTAGTTAAATCCTTTGTTTTAATATTATTTCCTGTACAATTCTCCTTGTCTACGAGTAATGCTCGTATTGTAGCTACCACGTCCACATCCTCTAGCCTATCCACAATGTTTTCTTTTCTTTGTGCTACTTTAAGGGCGTATTCTAGCTTAAGGAAAATACCCACCGACAAAATCTCATTGGTTAGACGTGTGTCTAACCCGTTTACAAATTGTTCTGCAATGAATGCATCTCTGTAAATTCTCTGTTCGTTTGTGATTTCCTTAGGAAAGATTATTGGCTGTCATTTTTAACCTTTGTGTGAACGCACCTAAAGTTTCGTCCGGTTTTCTTTTAGAAGTTGCAAGCTCCATCTTGGCTTTTTGAAAATTTTTACCGAACACGCTCTTTAACCATTTTCCTTCCACCGATGCTGGTTTGTCTTCGTCTCTAAGCGCAAAATAGTATGATTTTGCTGTATCTTTGAATTTATATTCCATAGCTCTTATAATTTCTTTGTCTGATCAGTTATTTTGTTCGCCTATTTGATTCATTGTATTAACAAAGTGATCGTAATCTGTTCCTTCTTTGTATTCGTCCACCAAACTCAAAGTTGAACCTAGTGTTAGTTTTTGAACTACATATTTACATTCCTTGGCGGATTACTTTGACTGTAGTACTGCTTTTAATTTGAAATCGTTGGATTCAAATCTCCAGATGGTCCTCTATTTTCTGTATCATTAATCTTAAATAAATGACTAATTACCAAACAAAACTAACGAATTCGTGTTATGAAAAAAAATTAAGAAGATGACCAAATTATGGGACAATAACTATAAAATAGAATTATTTTGCGTTTATGGAAATATTTCGGTGAAGATATAAAACGACCTAATTGGCAAAAGAGTTAATATTTCCGACTAGTGGTCCCTGTGCGACCCATTCGCATCACAAGACTCCGTTGTGTATGACTTTTTTGCGGTGAAAATCGAGAACCAAATCTAATTAACCACGTTATTAGATTTCTTTTCTGCACTTTTTATCCTACCATTTGGGAGACATATACGACAAAAATTACTGAGTAAATTAATTATTTGCCGGAGAGTTATCTAGATTATATCCGCACGTGTTTTACTGAGCCTCTTTTCTTCCGAAAGTACTTTTACGATTATTACTCTTAAGACCTACTCTCGGCTTTGGGGAAACGGACCTGCTTTATGGCTTTATGACCTCAATTTAAAATTTTCTTTAAAATCGACCCCATAAATTTGGTTTTGAAGTTAAATTTCAAGTACCCTTTTCAAAATTACTTATTTCGCACATGTTGGGATTTCTAAACCTTTCTAAGAAACTTCTAACTGCCGCTATTACCAAGAACTATTTTAAGCGTCTTTTCCAACTTTCTCCCTATTATAATAAATTATAAACAATTTTTGTTTAATATCGAATAATAAGGGGCCACGGGTAGCGCAGTGGGTTAGGCGACTATGCCGAGACAAACTGCGTCCGTAGGTATCGGTCACAGCCTTGGGTGTTGTGCCCGTTGAAAGTCGGTAGATGAGTCTAACTCATCGAGGACCGTGGTTCAGATTCCACGTTAAACAGTAGGTCCCGCTGAAGAACCGAACCTTACAGGCTTTGCCTGTAAGCTGGATAGGTTGATGGCGTTACTACTATACTTTATTATTGAATAATACTATGTTTTTTTAATACATTTTACCTAACGGTAAAAAATAGAATTAAAATAAATGTGAATTTGAGGTCCATTATGTATATGGTTAGCGTCATAATAAATATCTAATTAAGTGTATTTGATGTTTTTATTTCAGTTCCTCCAGACATCCTGGACTATCCAACGAGCGCAGACATGGTTGTGGACGAAGGGTCCGACGTCAGTTTGCGGTGCGTTGCGAAGGGTTCGCCGGAGCCTTCGATCACATGGAAACGGGAGGACGGACACTTAATACATCTGCAGACTGGAGTAGACGGTGTGTATACCTACCTGCCAGCCAGTATAAACGTGTAAACATATATCTAATTCGGCAAACAAGGGCTGATCCCCTTTCTGTTTATTTTCTTATCGATTGGGTGCTCGGTTTTATACTACATTGCTTTATCTAATGTTGATTGAATGCTAATAGACATAAATAATGGGTTTTTAATGTATTCCAACAAAAGTATGTTTTCCTTTATTCTTTTTTCTGTTATCTGTTAATTAAAATATTTTAATAAACTTATTATTTATTTAGTGTATTTTATAAAATGCAGCAGTAAACTAGATTTATTTTAATTTAGGGTGAACACTCCACCATGGAGTGCCCATAAAACATTTTTGTTTTACTTTTTTTATGAAAAACTGTTTCTATATAAGATTTGAACGGTCTATTTTCTATTGTCTATACATTTCGATTTATACATAATCAGTGTAGGGCGATGCCGATGGGGCCAGCTATACGTTCTCATACTCTTACTCATACTCTTACTCATACTCCATAAATAATCAAACGGATTGCAATCTGTAAAACAAGGTAGCCACGCTGGATTAATGCCCCATTGGAAGTTCAAATAAAACTGCTAAAAACGAATGGTTATGAAGACAATCGAGAGATAATCGACATCATTCCTCCTCCTGAACTCCATTTATTAATTGGTGTAGTGAATCATATTTATAATAACATGTTGATTGAAATTGAGAACGAAAGTCTTGAATGGGTAAAGAAGTGTAATGTCGAACGGCTTGCAAGCCCCTTTTAAAAGAAATAGACTATCTGAAATCAAGTAGGTACAAATATTCAGTGTTTGAAATTTGTAAAATGTCTTCAAGACTTTCGCTATGTGGTTGACTCTTGTTTTCTCTAAATCCTAAATTTAGAATCTACTTAAAAAATTTCGAGCAAGTTACTGTGATTTAACATCAAAAGTACACGCAGTATTTCACCACATAGAATATTTTTGCAATAAAACTGGAAAAGGACTCGGATTTTATAGTGAACAGGCGAGTGAAGCTGTTCTTGCAGACTTTAAGAAAACCTGAAAAAAGTACAAACGTATGAAAAGTCATAAAAGTTATGCTGATCATCTATTTAAAGCTGTAAAGAAATACAATAGTCAACATTAGTAATATGTACTCTAATCCTAAGACTACCGCAATTAAGAAATGCATAAGTAAAAGAACCTCAATAAACAGTTCTTTAATATATTTGGATACCTGTGAGTGTATTTATATTTATTCGTTATATTGAAGAAAGTTTGTTTAATGTAAAAAAAGTATAAAATGTGTTTACTTTGATATATTCAATAACTTTCTGGCATACTCCAAATTAACATTTATTAATATTCATATATGTATTACCAAGAATTTCAGTATTTTGTATTATGTTTATTTTATGTAACAAATGCATTTAAAAACTCAAAAAAAAAATAATTGATTGAGTTTATCTTGAAAGAATATTGTCTTGTGTGATTATTTATCAAATCGTGAAAATAATCGGATACGTCTTGACCTTTCAATTAAAAGTTATTTAGGGACACCGTGAAGTGATTCTGTCCCTCATCGTGAATTTTTATATAAATGGTTTAAATTTAATTGTTGGCTCTTTATTTAAAAAAAAATTATTCGAATGTGCAAAAATTAGTCTATTGGTATAACATTGTTAAGATTAATTGCAGTTCTTTACATGTCAATAATACTTATAGAAAACTCAACCCTCAGTTAGATAAGATAGTAGTAAAACAAGTGTCATAAAACCTTTCACAAATGGTTTTATGCACACAAGTGCTAGAGTAAGACAGTATTCTAACTGAATAAGGACCTTTTTGTAAAACAGTTGGCCTGTACCGGGCATAGAGTCAAGTCGCTTTTATACATTTTATTATAAATAAACTTTTCTTTACTTTTAATAAATAACTCATTGCAACCTCATCCAAAATAACAACAGGTTATGGGCCCAGTGTGCTAAGGGGTTGCTGCGGGTTTGCTATTAAGAATAAGTGAGTGCGTGTTGCAATTTGTCGCGTTAATTGGACTTTAGTTAACAGTGGTGTTGAAATTTAAAAATGGATTTTGACATGGATAGATCGTCTAAGGTTGAAAAACTTAGAGGTTCCGAAAATTGTCAACAATGGCAATTTGTAATGAAAATGTTAATTGATAGTATGGGAGCTTTGGAGGTCTGTGATGGAGTTATAGTGAAGCCAACCGATAATCAGGCAGAAGATTATGAAACAAAGTTAAAGTCATGGAACAAAGCAAACAGAGCCGCAAAATCTATGATAGTGACGTCTGTAGAGTCAAAACCGTTACAGTTGTTGCTAAATTGCGAAACTGCTGAGGATATGTGGAAGAAGTTGCACAATGTGTACGAAATGAAATCGGAAGAAAGCCTCTCTTTGGTGCAGAAGCAGTTCTTCGAATTCCAGTGGGAACCTGAAGGTAGCATTGCGCAACATATTTCCAAGCTAGAACGATTAGCAAATCGAATGAAAGCTCTTGATGGAATGATTTCGGTTTCAATGTTAATTACAAGAATATTGTCGACATTGCCACCAAAGAACAATCATTTCCATAGTGCATGGGATTCAACAGAAATTAACAAAAGAACCCTAGAAAATCTGACCTCTCGTTTATTGACTAAAGAATTGAGAATAAATGGCAATGAAGAAAAGGACACTGAAACTTCAGCTGCGTTTTTCTCGAGAAAGACACATCAAAAAGGGAGTGGTTCTAGTAAGCAGTTCAAACACCAAAAACCGAAGAAGTTTGGGTGTTTTCTGTGTGGAAGACAGAATCATAAGAAAAGTGAGTGTCCAGGATGTGTTGTGTGCGGTTCTAAGGAACATTTATCAAAAACGTGCCCAGAAAAACGAAACGTCGGATCGAGTTCGCGAAATTCACAAGCATTTATGGGATAAAGTGCACAAAATAGTGCGGATAAATAGATTATAGATTTAGGTGCGTCTGAACACATGGCAAATCAACGGGACTATTTTCGTGAGTACGAGAATTTTAATGAGCCTCTAATGATTTCTGTTGGAAACGGCGAAAAAGTGCCTGCGTTAGGTCGAGGCAAAATTCAAATAGAAACGTATGCCGAAGGCAAATGGTTGCCAGGTTTCTTGCATGATGTGTTATTTACACCAAAAATGTCTCAAAACCTTTTTTCTGTGAAAATGGCTGCTAAAAAGGGGGTTGATTTCATTGTAAAAGACAATGGTAAAAAGTGCCAGTTTTTAAGAAATGAAAAAATTTTCGCAATCGGCGTAGAAGTGGACAAAGCCAAAGTTAAAAGCGCACATTGCAGGACAATTAAATTCCTTGCAGCTGTGGCATGAGAGACTTGCACATCAAAATTATAAGTATGTGCTGTCGTATTTAAAAGGACAACATATAAAAAATGTTGACAACAAACAGACAAGAGAGGTTGAATCGATTGACAATGAAGAGAGAGAAAATGAAAGCGAAATAGTGCAAGGTGAAGTTATTTAGGGACACCGTGAAGTGATTCTGTCCCTCATCGTGAATTTTTATATAAATGGTTTAAATTTCATTGTTGGCTCTTTATTTAAAAAAAAATTATATGTGCAAAAATTAGTCTATTGGTATAACATTAATTAATTAAAATAAAAAGCGTTACAAAATGCTATTTGATAACATAAACAACCTTGTGTTTAAATTTTTACGTTAGGTATACAATATTTTAAAAATTATCGTGCAACACGATTGGGCGATTTGATATGAAATGACCCAATAATAAAATAAATAGGTTTTTGGGTTAAAATGTCTAATAGTAGCACACTATACTTAATTGTTAATACTAAATTTAAATGAATTTTAAATTTATAAAGACATTAAAATAGAATAAATGCTTGCAAATTTATTCTTTTAAAGTTTTTAAAAATGAAACAGTTTACACGGAAAAATGTGTATCCCAGACATACATTATTAATATTTTCTATATGTATAGCGGTTTTAAGCAATTTTGGTTAATAAACGTAAAACTGTATCAATTTTTACTAACTGGGGTTGTTTAATGAATCTACATATAATGTTTGTTTTTAAAATCACGTAGCCTAATAATTTTACGGACAGTACACATTTTTTGTTATTGCATTTTAATTATTTCTTTCCATTGTCTGCTAATTAAGTTGTTTTAATTTATATATTTTTTCATTGCAGTTTCCTCCACTACTGGTCCTATCTTAAACTTAACAAATGTAAAAAGAGATCACATGGCTCCTTATTTATGCATCGCTTCAAATGGAGTACCTCCTTCTGTCAGTAAAAGAATAATGCTGATAGTACAATGTAAGTATTTTTTGTATTAATATAGAAACAAATTCAATTTTAATATGCACTTTCTTAAAGAAACTTTTATAAATTTTCAAGGCGGCATACGAAAAACTCTGATAGACTGTTTTTCCAATTTTCATCATGTAGAAGATGCGACAACAAACGACGCTTCGTAGCTTTAAAGAAAGATTACGTGTATAGTTACATTTTACATAAATATTTTTGTATATAAAGGCGCCTCTTCGTCACCCGACACTATAACGATGAAGTGGGTAAAATATATGTATAAAAACATTTTCATAGTTGTTTAGGAGATCTTCAACATTTCTTGTAATCAATAATGTAATATTATACAAAAATATACCGAATCACAATAATTTTATAGCTATATCTTTAACTAACGGTAGCATAAATATAAGGTAATAATAATAAAGGTGGTGGGGGCGCGCCGCGGCGGTCGATCGTTAGGTTACAATGTTATACGAGTAAGGGGTAATAATATGAATAAAAATTTACTTATTTTTGAGGAGTAGGCATCTTTAAATAAATATATGGAAAGCATTGCCTTTGCTTTTAGGTAGGTAAATAGTTAGGTGGTAGGCACCACCCCAATTTGCTAGATTTCTTTATAATTAAAGAAAACCACTAGCAAGCGTGAAGTTTATATATTTTTAAAGAAACCGATAATAATCCGATAGTAATAAAAATTTTGACCAAGAAAGGCCTGTTTTCCAGAGGTTAAAGGTCCAGTTCTGGAACAATACGTTGACAAGGATTTGCGTCCAGGCCCGTTCCTGGGGTGTCTGGCGCCTACGTGCAGCATTCGTTGGTGCGCCCCTTTTATATTTAAATATAATACATTAAATATTTTAATTTTAAGCCCTAAAATTTAAAAAATATGTATTTTGCGACAAACTGGCAAAAATTACAAAAAATTTAAAAAAACCGCTTAAATTAAGTATAAAAAATATTTATTAAATTACCAAACAAACAAAATCACAAAAAATATTCAGTGATAAAAATACTCTAAAGAAAACAAAAAAAAAACAATCTAAACTAGGTAACTACAACTGGTTTTTAGTAACGTACTCTCTAAAAATGACTAGATTTCAAAGTAAAAAAGCAGTCACTAATAACTTTAGTCCACAGCAATTTGTATCCCGGGCATTAAACAGCTTATTAATATGTAAAATTGTCGCCTGAATCCGAAAATACTGTCAAAAATTATAAAAATAAAGCAGTTTTTAAGATATAGTCAATTCCATATTATTTGAAAAATTTACTAAATCTTAAAAGCGTTCTACTTTTGACGAGATTTTCGGATTCAGCGGACATAGGAGTTGACTGCTAAATGTCCGGGATACAAATTGCTATTGACGATAATTATTAGTCGCTGCTTTTTCGCTATGGCAATAAGACTAATTGAATTAGTCATTTTTGACTAATTCTATTTTAGAGTTACTACTGTTAAACTTTGCTACCGTCAACTGCAACTATCAAACAAATACTAAAGATAATATGACCATGTCTCTCCTTTTATTTTGATCCTCATATCAAAACAAAATAAGCCGCCAATAACAAAGTGGCAAAAGGCGCTTTATAGCGACCGAAAAAAAGAGCGGCCGACGCAAAAAAGCGGAAACCTTTATCCAATGTATGTTTAAGTATTACATGCAAGAAAGCTTATCGTTACATAGTACTGATTGACTCTTTGATTTTGCGCCCCCGAAATGTTGCGCCTGCGTGCGTGCACGCACTGCACGCTCGCTAGGAACGGACCGGTTTATGTCTCCCTATGGGATAGCTTTTATTTTAAAACAAACACAATTTAAATTAAATTAATTTAAAATCTAATTCAAAGCATTTAGATAATTAAATTAAAATAAAATCTACTAATTGAATACAAACGATTTTACTTATTTACTATTTGTTTAAAATAAACTATTTTTATTCATTAATTAATAAATAGCATTGTTTTAATGAAAACACTTTTTTTAATAAACTTTTTAATGAAATAGAATTATTATTAATTAATAAATAACATTATTTTATTAAAAACACTTTTTTAATAAACTTTTTAATGATATAGAATTATTATAGGTATTAGAAATATTATTTAAAACATAGATTTTTAGAAATAATTTTGTAAAAAATAAATACCACAACTAGTTTGGTAACATTGGTATTTGAAAATCGATTAATTTAAATTTAAATTAATTCTTGACATTTAATTAGCATGATAATTCTTGTTTTCAGTTCCTCCTTCAGTTTGGATCCAGTATCAATTGATCGGAGCCTACGACGCTCAACAAATCACTCTGGAATGCCATTCGGAGGCATTCCCCAAATCCATCAACTACTGGACCAGAGACAAAGGAGAGATAATCCCTCATAGTAAGAAATTTACTTTCCATTAATTCATTACTTAACTGTATTTAATTTATAGACATTTATAAAAATTTTCCTATTTCTATTAGATACCATTTATACATGTGATTAAAAACGGTTAATGTGGTTTTAATAATTCTTGTTCATAATAAAACTGATTCGAATATATATTTAATTTAATTCCAAAATAAACAGTGTGTCCTGGATGGAGTTACCTATACGAAAAACTTTTTTATTATGCGTTTTACGTTTCATAAAAAGTCCTGTTTGTTTAAAAGATGAGAGTGCGATTTAAAAAAAACCGATTCATTGTACAGGGTGTCCAGAAATTAATAAAATATGAAAATACTCATAACTTTATACAAACATTTTATAAGAGAAAGTCGTTGCAAATTTAATTTAAAGTCTAAATATGAAATACAAATTATTTTTTTTTAATATTTATTTGATATGAACTCCTTAAACGTTAACACATTTTAACTTTTTTATTATGCGTTTTAGAAAAAAAAAGTTATTCTTTATAAAAAGTCCTGCTTCTTTAAAAAATGATATTGCGATTTTAAAAAAAACCGTTTCATTGTACAGAGTGTCCAGAAATTAAAAAAAAAAGAAAATGCTCAAGAGAGAAGTAGGTACCTTTTTTTATTACTTTATACTAAAATTTTATAAGAGAAAGTCGTTAATTTAGAATCTAAATAAATGAAAAATACATTTATTTTGTAAAAAATTATTTTGGAATAATTTATCTCGTTTTCCCATTCACCTTTCTCCAAATTGGTTTGTCAACCACTGCCGTACCAAATTAGTGAAATGAGCAGGGCATCCATCTTGCTGCCAAAAAATTCTTTGCCGAATTTCTGGTTCCAGGGTGTTTATAAAATTTAAAACATAATTTTGCAAAATTTCCGTATAAACATGTTGATTTAAATTTTCTTCTATAAAATATGGGCCGATTATTTGATCATAAAAAACTGCACCCCAGACATTGACTTTTTTATATGGTTGACCTTTCTCGATTGTATAATTTGGGTTTGCATTGGCCCAGAAACGACTATTTTGAGATGAAACATGCCCGTTGGTCCAAAAAGTTGATTCATCCGTAAAAAAATCATTTTGTGAAAATTTCGATCCTCCATGTAATTCTCTCCAATCCATAAACAAAAGTCCAATCGCTTCGCTTCATCACCATCTTCCAGTGTATGCGTGAATTTTGGTTTATACGGATAAATTTTGTTCTCTTTATAAATAAGCTGAATTTGACTTTTACTAATATTTAAATCTTGAGCACGTTTGCAAAGAGACATCAAGGGATTTTTTTAAAGGGATTGCATTGCCAAAATTGTTGCTGCAAAAGTTGACGTGGGATTTTTAATCCCCCCTCCCTTAACATGCGATTTGGTAAGATTTTGCTAGACCCCTCCCCCCTATTTTTATCTCACGTAAGTAAATATTCTCCTCAACGCGCACTTTATGGTAACTGACTTACTCGTGGGTCACGCCCCATAAAAGGTTAATGTTATTTAATATTTAAAATACAGCTTGTTCAGACTGAAACCGAATATATCTATATATGAATGTGGCGTGGCCTCGCCTCCCTCCAAGGCGCGTCACAGTAGCTTGTGTGATAAACGACATGACGAAAGGTCGAGCAGGTAAGGACTTAAAAAGTTAAATGATAATAATGCAAAAAATCTCATTAGCGATGCATTCTATTTGCTTAGCTACTGTGTCGCGCGTTGGAGGGAGGCGAGGCCGCGCCCCATATATATAGATATATTCGGTTTTATTCTGAACTGGCTGTATCTTTAAATAAATACACGTACCTATTAATTTATTTAGATAGGTACTTAAAATAAAACTGATGTTTAATAGTAGATATATTATACAAGGTGTCCCTAACTTATTGGCATAAATTTGGGAAAAGATTGAGCAAGTCAAAATAAGACGAAAACCAAAATAAATATTTTTCCTAATTACTTATGTTTCCAAGATACAGGGTGATAAAGGGTTACTTATCATATAAGTTTTTTTAATATAACCTCTATTATGGTAGTCTTGAAAAGGTGATATTTTGCGAACAGTCACTTACTACCAAAACACATATTCACACATAATTATAATTGTTTGAGTAAACAGTGTCGTAGAAACGGAGGTTGCTTTAAGCTTATTGTCCCATACAAACTTTGAGGTTAGGTTTTTATAACATTTGATGCAATTTTTAGATTATACAGTTCGGCTACCATTAAAAAGGTGTACCTCTCAAACTTTAATAAAATAAACCGTTTCCGAGATATTCGAGATTACAATAATTGTTATATCGCATTATTTAAAAGGATTAAAAGGTAAATGATAACAAATTTAATTTAATTAAAAAAACTAAAAAGAGCATTCCTTGAGCCTCGGGACTTTTTGCCCTGACCGTCACATTAAAAAAATTGTAGTTTTTTCAATTAAAAAATGTGTTATCATATACCTTCTAGACCTTATTATTATTATTGTAATCTCGAATATCTAGGAAACGGTTTATTTTATCAAAGTTTGAGAGGTACACCTTTTTAATAGTACCTAAACTGAGTAATTGCATCAAATGGTATAAAAAAAACTTATCTCAAAGTTTATATGGGACAATAAGCTTAAGCAACCCCTGTTTCTACGACACTGTGTTCACTCGAACAATTGTAATTATGTGTGAATATGTGTTTTGGTAGTAAGTGACTGTTCGCAAAATATCATATTTCCAAGTCTACCACAGTAGAAGTTATATTAAAAAAACTGATATGATAAGAAACACTTTATCACACTGTATCTTTTAAACATACATAATTAGGAAAAATATTTATTTAGATTTTCGTCTTATTTTGACTTGCTTAATCTGCTCCTAAATTTATGCCACTAAGTTTAGGGACACCTTGTATATCAAACGCTAGTGAAACTTGGAACTTGACTATAATTGCAAACAATCCGAAACTTAGGATTTACGTATTTTCGTATTCTCTTTGTTAAAAATGTAAAACACGTGCAAATTACGATTAAACACCGCCAATGTCAAAGAAATACAAGTTTGCACCTAATCTCCTCCGGAAATCAATGATTTGCACGAATATAAAATTTTATATGTCAAAACAGAAAATGGGTTTGGGACATTATGTCGAAAATCAGTGTGAAACCTCTTTTATTATAAAGATTAACAACTACACTTTGAAATAAATCGATTTTTGCTAAAAATTACTGAAAATCGATCAATTCTATCGGTATCGTCTTGTAATAGTACAAAGACAACATACTCTATGATAATATTTAATACATTGGTGTAACAGGCGTTTCAAGACTTGCGAGTTTAATTTGCATAGCAATAAATACCAAAATTTTAGATCCCTCAAGTTACTTTTTTATTATTGTGTACCTCTTTGATGGTTCTGAACTCGTTCATGATTTTGTGTTTTTTTGAAGCACTTTTAAATTATTTGAATTCCTTCAAAGTACTTTTTTTTATATTTTACTCATTCGAATCACATTTTTTTTTAATTGTTAAATCCTATCTGCTTTTTTATATTTATTGCCCCTTTTGAAGAACTTTGTAATGATATTGGACTCCTTTAAAGCAATTATGATTAAAGTTCGTTGCAAATGGATTTATGTAATAATAACACCGTTTAAGCGTCTATTAAAATAAAACTATAATTTGCCCCCAGTTTTAATACACATAAACGAAATTAAATCAATAAGAAATATATAATATTATGATTGTAATATAAAGTAACAATTGATTAGTGGTTAATAAGGGTTTACGTACCCTAGATAAAGATAAACTTTGTTATAACGTAAATAAATATCTGTTTCTAGGTTGTGTTCAATATTATATTATAATTCTATATTATATTATAATTCTATATATACTAAAGGTGTGAATTTGTAACTTATTACTAAAATGAAAAAACAGCTGTTAAAGGTTGTTTGACAAGTAAAAAGATTATAACTGTCAATGAAATTGGTATGCTTGAAACTTTTATTTTTGTATATACTTTATTCGTAAGTCTTGATACGACTGTTATAACATCGTGACGTCAGGCTCTCTCCAAACTAATCATTGGAATGTTGCGTTTTTAAAACGCTGCAGCGTTCTATAAAATTAACGAAATTGTATGCCTAGATTTTAAATATATAATTAAATAATTGCATGTCTCAATTTTATTGGTTACCTACCAGAAAATTTGCAACAATTCAAAAACTACATGCAAATTTTGAGATTAATTGTCAGTTTCGAATGCAAGATTTACACTCAAAATTTTTAAATAGAAAATGAAAATGTATAAATAATTGTATTTATACATTTTCATTTTGTTGACAACTTTTAGAAATTAAAATGTTTGGAAACTTTGTGCAAATTTAACAGTAGTTATGAATATCATTTGAAGCTTTATTACAACTTTACATGAGTATACGGAGTGTACGGAGAACCAATGTCCATAATTTTTACTTTTAGTCTTACTGAAAATTTATCGTCTGTCAAATTTGCAAATGTGCAAAAATTAAAAGTAGTGCAACCACGACTTTGCACATATATAGGTTAACGAACAGGTCCATGGCCCATGGGAGATCAACCCTATTGCCCCATTTTGATTAATTTTTTGGAGCATTCTGGCCGTTATTAAAAATAATTTGAATAAAAAATAGAAAATTTAAACATCTACAAAAGGTATTTAAAATATGTAATATAGGATTTTGACCACAAGATACCGCAAGAGTGAATTTTGTTATTAATTTAAATAAAAATAATACAAAAATTTAAACATTGCAGCTTGAACTCTACGTGTTTATGTTAATAATTTTGCTTTGTTATAAATTACCCATTGATTCACACTCATTGATTTTCGGAGAACATTGGTGGTGTTTAATCGTAATTTGCAAGTTTTTTTAACAAAATGAATATAACAATTTTTAACGATAATTAGTTATTTAATGTGTTCCAGTGGATAAAAGGCGTACAATTTGATATAAGGGTGAAATGGTTAGGCGATGCATTTTTGTCAATTTGCACGTTTTTTGCAATTTTGGCCCATGAGTTATACCTTATTGTTCATTTTTGGAGATTTAAGAATGTCCTGTACGTCATGGGATACAAACCTACGTATGTTCAGCGATGTAAATTGTGGGCGCCAACCATTCACAGGGTTACACCCTTTAAGTATTTACCTAATGATATTAGGGAGTGAATGGATTTGGATGTAATAATAATTCAATGAAGTTTATAATTAATTCGCATATATTGTATATCACCCAGATTCACCAATCAATGATACATAATCTCATATTTATCAATCTACATAGTCTTTCACCGCGTTTAATATTTATGGCCATAAAAATTGCGTGTTTACAGTTTTATTTATTTATAATAATTCAACTAAAATAAGTGTAGGTTCTGATGGAACTTAACTCAAAAAACTATGTATCTGGGATGTATAGAAATAATATGTTAAAGTCAAATTTTCTTTGGTACGTTTCCACACGCCACTTTTCCTTGTTGGGTCCTGTTTGACTCCGCAGCGACCCTAGGTTGGATCTGCGTCTACAGTGTTTGCTGGACGTTGCCACTCTGGCATGGATTTAGAAATTTGAAATTCCCAAGGAAAAACTAACAAAATTTCAAGTAATATAACAAACGTAACTTTAAATTGGCTTTACTTACCTTCTATTTAGAGGTTTCGTTCTACTAAATTCAATACTTTCGCCGATATTCTCCAGTGATTCTGCAATTTTACAAATGGATTAAATATACTTAATATGCCTGCTCAATCCGGCACAAAAATCTCTATTTAAATTAGAATTGAAACAGTATAAAACAAATTTGTTCAAAAATTATAGTCGAGAAATTATTCACGATATCTGACCGTATTATACGAAGGTTGAAAGGAAAAGAGCACATGCAATTTTAACCAAAAGGAAGTCAGGTAAAGCGTATATAAAAAAGTGTAAAAAATTAACATTGGTGTCAAGTATTAAATGGAGAAACTAGAAACAAATCATACCTTAAATCAATTAAATAACAATAATTAAATTTAGAAAACCAATTCAAGTCTGCATACCCAATTACAACAAATTTAATATTTTACGGACTAATTGCAAAAGTATCTTTTCAAGTAGATCTTCGAGGGAAATCTGGCAAAGCTGTAATATATACGAATTTCAGCAGGTTGGGGACACTGGTATACCGCGGCTTGAAGGTTATGTTTAAAATAAGTAAACAAATTAAATTATTTCCAACAGTTATTTAAAAACATAGAAATCAAGATAAAATGAAACACTTAATGCAGTCCTGTTGTGTTACTTCGATGTGGTTGTACGTAGATTATATAAATTAAGAATCACAAAAATAAATTTTATGTTAAAGAAAATACTATTGTCAAACACTGATAATTTGGCCAAAATAAATTAAATGAAAAATGTACCATAAACTGTGCCTAATGGGTAAATTGAAACGCACAAGGCAAATTGTTGCGTTTTTATTTATCCGAAATCAAACGCAAATCTACGTTAAATAAAATTAAGAGATAAAAGATAAGAGATAATAAATAACTAATATCAGATATCAAATAAAAGATAACAGTGCAATGTCACCGTTTACCTTCAATTTAAAATAATAAATAAAGATTGCTGTAAATGGTAGTCACTATTAAATTTAAGAGATGTCGCAACGATAGGTCTAACCTTAAAATCCCTAGATAGTCCAGGGAACAAAGATTGTAGAAGGAAAACTCGATGGTAGTCGGGTTTTATTTTTTTATGTAGTCAGGGGTGCTGATAATGAATCAAGAATATTCCCCAAAAATTTCTTGGTAGTCACTATTAAATTTCAGAGATGTCGCAACGATAGGTCTAACCTTAAAATCCCTAGATAGTCCACGAAACAAAGATTGTAGAAGGAAAACTCGATGGTAGTCGGGTTTTATTTTTTTTATGTAGAGTCAGGGGTGCTGATAATAAATCAAGAATATTCCCCAAAAATTTCTTTCCGCGTCCCCTAATTTCATCCCCCGAAAGGGGAGTTTTTTTGCTTTTTGGCTCATCTCGCTAACCGTGCATTTTTTCAGAATTTGACCTCTAATACCTTTGATTATGTACTAAATAAGGCACACGTTAAACCCCATTGCGCACCTATATGATGTGCCCTTATGCTATGCGCAGTGTGCAAAGTTGAGCGTTGCTTTCAAAATCACTTTTTTGTTTTTTTTATTATAGCTCAATTTTAAAACTAATCGATCCCAAACCTTACGGTAATCGAACATATCCGAATGGACGATTTTTTGAGGTACTAGACTTTTTTCAAAAGTTACTGCTTTTCAATGTACAGGGGGTTCTTTTTTCAAAAAACCCATTTTTTATTTCCCAAATGGCTTAAATGAGAGAATCCGTAGTTTTTTAAAATTATTTTCATTGCAAGTGCCCCACAAAAATTAAAGTTTTGAAAAAAGAACCCCCTGTACATTGAAAAGCAGTAACTCTGAGATCTAGTGTAATGTCTCCTGATGAACTAAGAATTGTACTAATAGTTGACCAAGCATTTTCCCTAGCCTTAATGTCTTTAAATAATAAATGTTTTTTTATTATAAATTTGCTGGAAATCCCGCGCAAGATTAATTAATTGTTCATCATCCATTATAATATCATAGTTGTTAAATTATTTATAAATGTATTTTACAAGAAGTAAACGACAATTTTCAAGATTTTGACACATTTAGGGTGTTTTTAAATTGTCCAACTGTTGCAATATTAGGTTGGTCACTTAAGTCGAGCGACTTTTTCACTACAGCGCACGTTTATACGCAGAAATAGGACTCGTAAGTTAAAAATTGTCAACTTCTTATCTTATCTCCTATTTCTTATTTGTTATTTTAATGAGTATGAACGTTTACAACATTCAACAATATTTTAACTTTAGTTATTAATTGTTATTTGTTATCTCTTATTTGTTATTTTTATTCAACGTAAACTCGCCTTAAATGTCGGGTTGTTTGCAATTTAAGTCAATTCAAGCTTTATTAACTGTCATATTTATCCCATTTTATAATAAACTCATAGCTCTATATAAACTTTTTTTATTTTCAGATGCAAAATATGTGCCTGAAATTGTCGAAACTGGCTTTAAAGTTCACATGAAATTAACGATTAATTTTTTGGGTCCACAAGACTATGGTATTTACAGATGCATTTCGAAAAATTCCCTGGGCGACATGGAAGGAACCATTAACGTTTACAGTAAGTATATAATTTTAAAAAACAAAGCTTTATTTTCCTAATCAAATTGGCATTAAATCAGTTTTGCCTCTAACAAAAAGTTCCCTTCAATTTGAGTTCGTAATTTCATTTCAAGTATCCTTGGGGGCTCGTAATTGGGGTGACAAATTAAAAATTAACTTCATGTAAAGGACGTTTTTAACGAATAAGTAAATTGCAAGATTAAAAGTTTTGAGTGAAACTGTAAAACAATATTTTATGATTTATAACAGAATTTTAATCGAGAAATTAATTTTACAGGGATACCCAATCCGAACAGAATACAAACAAGGGATAAAAGTAAGTTAAACATATTTAAGATTACCTGTATTATTTGGTAAAATTTTATTTTACACAAGTTATGTCTTTGCTTTTGTATGCCAAGAAACAATTTGAAATATTTTCCAGAGTAATTTTCTTAATTAGAATGCCTATTAGAGAAACGAAACTGAAAAGAAAAAAGCTTTAGACGAACTAAAGTGGAAAATGCAGCCGAAAGGGGCTTATTACAGCTAACAAAGCATTTTTACGTCACAATTCAAATGCGGAAAAATAACACATATCCAAAGTTAATTTAACATTAAACATTTTAAAGATGAAACATAATATAAAAACACAAATATAATTTGACAAAATGGGTGTCAGCTTTAAATTTTTCACTTTGTATATTTGTCATAACGGCGTTTTCTTTTCTCTTCTTACAAATAAATTAAAATATTTTACGCTTGTTTGTGAAGCCGGTTAAAATTTCAGGGATATACTGCTATAAGACCGACAACCTTAATGCACTTTGCCTCCGAGACACACTTCGTATTCTTTATTAATTTAATACGGTTTTACTTCAAATTAGTAGGTAAGCACTGCTTTCTTAAATTATAATTTAAAAAAGCAGTGCTGATAATTATCCCTAACTTAAAATAGTTATCTGTTTTACAAGTGTTGAAAAGCGACTTTTTCATGCGAGTTTTTAAGTTGTCCACGAGGCCGTTAGGCCGAGTGTGCATTAACACGAGCTTGAAGAAAGCTTTTCTCACAAGTATAACACAATGTTTTTTCTGCAACCCTTTTATTTTTTATTATTTTTAAATACAAAACAAAATAACCTAAAAACTTTTTTGACAGCTGAATGTCAAACGATGCTGTTAATTTCTTTTCACACAGACCTGTCACTTTTCACACAGAAATGTCACTTTACATTTGTGTTTTGCCTTGCCAATGAAAAGATTCATTTTCTAAGCAACGATGCCATCATGAAAAGTGACTTTTACATAGTGGTCGTAGAAAAAAGATTTTTAGGCATTTTTTAAAATATTTGGAAATATACTTTTATAAAATATTATATTATATAGTCCTTAAAAGTATATTTAAAAATATACCTATAGATAGGTAATCCATAGGTTTATTTCACATAAACAGACACATTGGATGTTTATGATGCGTGTATTTTTTTTAGAAAATTAATTTGCAATCAAATAAAAGTGGTCATGTTTAGAAAAAATATACAAAAATATACTTAAAAATTTAGACAATCTTTTAGGCTTTTTGTCTTAAAAAAGTAAAAATAGGATGAAATTGAACCAAAATACATTTTTCATTGAGAACTTTTAACGTCTTACCTACACTGACTGTTCATTTAGGCTATTATTAGATCTTTACCAATACTTAATTAATATGTTGTATGTATTAAATTATTAAATAGACCCAATTTTATTTTAGCGTTTACCTAATAAAATAAAATAAAGTTCTTATTTTTCTAGCTATTAAAACTTCTATAGAAGTAGTAAAAATAAAAAAGGCCAGTATTAACAAGGTCATCAAACACGACGCGACGGTAGTAAAATATAAATTTTACAAAACCGATCCGAAATGGGCCAATTAAAAGAATAGGTTTGTTGTTATTTTGCTGAAATGTACCATTTAGATATCTTTTAATTGGACATATAACGAAAATAAAAAGCTTAAATTATTCATTAAAATTTTTACAATTTTTTTTTAAATTATCACTTTAAACCTTTTATATTTGTCAAGAAATAGGAAATATTATAAAGAAATATTAGAAAGAAATATGTTTTCGACATTATTTTTTATAATTAACTAATGTGCAAGAAATATCAAAAATTAAAAAAAACGACCTTTAAAAGGTGTTAATATAAATATTATTAAATGAATAATTTCTCCCAAGTGGAAAAATATTAAAGTTAGTATTTTTTATTTTCTTTATAAATTTAAGTTGGCAAAAGAACCGTAAATTATATATATACAGAGTGTCTCAGAAGTCGCGCACCACCTTGAATGGATGATCTACAGACCCCCAGGAATTCCAGAAAATTTTAAAAATATATATCTTCATTATTTAACAAGGATATAAAAGCGTTAACATTGTGTTTTTAAAGTTAAATATAATAGGTTTATCTTAATTATATTCTTTTGTCGTATTATTTATTTATTTATATCCAACAGGCACAGGGCTCAATGACAGGAATAATTTTTATACATTGTATTTAATTTAATCCCAAATCTTTCCTAATTAATATCCATATTTATCTACATCCAAAATGTACGAGGTGTGTTCAGAAAATAACGGGAATTGTTAAATTTCGCGGGTTCGGAGGGTCCGGTTGTCATAAAATTTTCTTTATTATGTTGGTATACATGCCCCCGAAGTATGATAAAAACTTTAGCTGTTTTCATTGTTTACTTTGTATGTGGCAGCCGCTTAGGTTAGACGTGTTTTATGAGTTTAGCGATTTTTTGTTCGTTAAAAGAAATGGATCAAAGAATTTGTATCCAATTTTGCTTAAAAAATTAAATAAATTCTGTGAAATGTTAACAAAGGCCTATAACGAGTCTGCTATAAGTAAAACAAGGCTTTACAAGTGGTATAAGAGTTTCCAAGATGGCCGTGAAGACGTTGAAGATGACGAACGCCCAGAACGCACAAGCACATTAACAACCGATAAAAACATGGAAAAAGTGAAAGAAATGGTTATAAACTATTATAGAAGTCGCTGATGATGTTGGTATATCGATTGGCTTATCCCATGAAATTTTTTCGAATGTTTTGGGTATAAAACGCGTGGCAGCAAAATTTGTTCTAAAATTGTTAAATTTTGAACAGAATTTTTGGCCAAAAACAATACTGTAATGATGCCCCAGCCTCCATATTCGCCAGACATGCCTCTGTCTGACTTTTTCCTATTCCCAAAAATAAAGAGAACCTTAAAGGGCCGTCGTTTTGCAAGCATAGATGACATTAAAAGCGCATCGCTGAAAGAATTAAAGGCTATCCCAAAGATCGAGTTTTAGAAGTGTTTCGAGTATTGGAAGAAGAGCTGGCACATGTGCATAATATCCAATGGGGACTATTTTGAATGCGACAACATTAATGTAGACGAATAAATAAATATTTGTTTCAAAAAACGAAAATTAGAATCTGTCAAACCATTTCTGTTAAATACATAGAGAAAGAAACTTGTGCTTGTTTTTCTATTGTTAAATATTGATAAGTACCTATTCCTTTAGTAAGTATGTATGTTGTGTTTGGGGAATGCCCGAAAAATGCAAAACATTTACCCTGTATACAAAATGTTGCCATTTAAAATATTTAAATAACAAAGGTGGTGCGCGACTTCTGGGACACCCTGTATATATAATTTTTGCAGTAAATTTTAAATGTTTTCGTCAAAATTGCAATTATTTATTAAGTTAAATTTAGTTTTTAGCGAAATTTAAAAATATTTAATTTTAAACGTCCTTGCTACAACAATCACTTTTTGACCCATTTTGCGTAGATCCCAAAATCGAACAATTTCGATATTTTTGTTTGTCCGGTTCAAGTGAAAAGGCAAAAATTGAAGACAAGCTGCAGTAACAAATTTGAACCAGTTGATATACGGTTGATAAATCCTAACCCAGTATTTTGTGCAAACTTAGAAAGGACATTGCATAGGTTCTTTTACCTGACATCGTAGTTCATGATTAAGTTTTTGAACTCGAAAATAGATTCTTGTTTAATAAACAAGTGGGTTAAGTGGTTTATATCATTTAAATAAAAAAAACGACTTAAAATCAATACTAAAACAAAATAAAATATAAGACAGAAAATAACATGAAAGTTAGTTAGGCAATTTGTTAGAATTAAAAGCGAGAATAAAAAGTATATGGAGAAAATTATAATACTGTTATATGCGAGTAGGTAAAATTTTATTGTGTTTTCAGGTGCATCAAAAGTAAACAATGGGGTCACATATCCAAAAGAGGGCAGAGAGAAAGGTGAGTCCTATTACCCGTAACTGTCTATATATTAAAAATAAGTATACAGACAAATATAAAAGTTGTTACTATTTTATGATTGCAGACCGAGCGGACTTGCTCTACCTAGACAATGAATTATACAGCTCGGCTCGTCTGCCGTTCCCGGGCTACAGCGGCCCGTTAAGACTGCTTCTTGTAGCCGTATTTTTGTGCGCGCTTTCCAAACTAAACATATTTATTTAATAATGCTGTGCATACTCTCATCATAAAACTTTTGGACTTTAAGTCGACGGGGCCCAAGCGCCCCCTCATCAAAGTCGTCGTCTCATGTAGATGTGTAACATTTTAAGTGTAAGGTAACGTAAGTTTCCGAGGACACATTCCTCTATGTAATAAAACTAGGACTAGGCTATTTTTATACGCTTACTTTAGTATATAAAATTAAGTTGTGTAATAAATATGTATAAAAGTGTGACTATGTGTTTTATTAATTTATACAAAAAAAATACTAACCATTGATGCTCAGGATAATAATAATAATAATGCAGTCAATAAATTATTCATATGCAAAATTTTGCGTATTATAGTTTCTGGCACTACTCATTGATATAAAAAAAGTGTCAAGGTTTTCAAGTTGTCAAAGTATATAAATATATATATTATAATCCGTTAGGTTTGATGGTTGTCCATGGAAACCTGACTGTTTTGAAATGGGTAATGCTCAGTTAGTAGGGGGAGTCCATACGAGATTACCGCGTGTTTGCTCCGTGATTGAATCTAAAGAGTTTTTCAGGTGTCAATTCAATATTGGACGTTGGCTAAATACACATCCGTAACACCATTTTCAGATGGGTACCGTACTGAAATAAATTAAAGGTTAATTAATAAAAAATAAAGCCACCTAAAGCAAAATTGCGCTTCTTACCCTACACGTTCCAGAAGGACCAGGTAGCTTTGTTTTCAGTGGGGTTAAGAATGGCTGGGTATTTGGCTGTATTGAAGAGTCGTTGCATTTTAATCGCGGATTCACTTTTAACAAATGTATTATTAGCAAACATGGGGTGATTTTAAATCCACAACAGCATGACCATGGTACTAAGACAACAAGGTATGATTAGTTGCGAACGAATTTTGGGCGCGCGACTGCATGACGTCACTACGTGATAAAACTTACTGTTGGTATTGTAAAGATTTCTGCTTACACCAGTTTCGTTTAAAACAAGTTTTATGAAAAATTAATAAATTATCTATTTTGTGACTTTGGCTCGTGATCGTCTTACCCAAATTTGGACCTCTACTTTGTTTTTACTTACTTGTTTTATTAAATACATTGCTTTAAGAATCATATTAGGGAGAATTAGGTATACAAAAAATAAAATACAGTGTTTAGTTTACCCCAATTTAATTTACTTTACAAACAATTTACAAAAAGCAAGGGGTGGCTCTTAGGAAGATACGACAAGGAAAAAATAGCTTGAGAAAAAACGGCTATGAAGAAACAAAATATTACACGATTAGGCATTGTTTCTTTAAACGTTTATGCAAATCAATGTGATGAGGCGACGCTCGTCAATGTTTTTCCTATTTTTGAACCTGTAGGGGTTAGATAGTTAACAGGGCAGTGGACTGTTTAGTCTAGTAACGAGGTCCGCACTGGAGGCAACTCGACTATAAGATGTAGGGTCTGGATAAAAGTTGCCATGCCTTAAGAACCTAGGGGACCAGTTATCCCTCACGGTGTGGAGCATTTTAGTATCCACTGCAAAGTACGTGTGCTAAAGAAAAAGGAGCAAGTTTAAAATTAACGGTCAATACTTCCTTTTAAGCAACGAAACGTCCCGTATCACACCGATATATGTTTAAAAAGACCACAAAAAATTGCATAATCGTGTTGGGGTAGGTCTAAACATTTTATTTACAGGGACAGTTTACAACTAAATTAAGTTTTGAACAATAAAATAATTACATCTAAATTATTACATTAAACAAAATCTTAAGAGCTAATAACATTTTGTAAAAATAGCTAAAAGAAAAGGTGTTAATATCGAGTAAAATCCCCTAACCATAGTAGTGCAAAAGAACTAATGCTCAATTAACTTAAATCTGAATCGTTTTACGTTTAGTGGACTTTACTACATAATTTGGGCTACTCACATTAAGAACTAACTTTGGAAAATACACCAACACTTGTAACAATTATTTAAACAGAACTTTACAATAAATTTCGTTTTAGCAAACATTTACAAGGAGCTAGGCGTTCGCAGTGATGTAACCGATACAGTTTTTTCGGTATCTTGGTACAGATACAGATACTCTCTGGCAGATGCATCTGGGTACAGATACCGATACATTTGCCCAAAAGTATCTGGGCACAGATACAGAAACATTCAAAAAGTATCCAAGGTACTTCCAGATACTATCTGTTAAAAAAACTTAAAAACTAAATGACAAAGAAAAAAATTGTTTGAAATAATTCTTTCAATTTATCCAACAAATTACTTATCTACTTATTATCCACTGGATATCTTGTGTTTATCTTATAGATATAATATAATAATATAACAATAATAATATAATAATATTATAATATAACCATCTAAAGATAAATATCGAAACATGTATAGATTTTTTTTAATGGTTTTCTATAAATCCCATAATAATTGTTTTTGGAGGAATATCTACTGTTTATCCATTGTATAACCAATGGGCATCCATTGGATAACCAATGAATATGCAGTGGAAATCCAATTGATATTTAGGCAATATTCAAACTGTGGATTTAAAAAATTAAAAACCATTAACATAAAAGATATAAAAATAACCAAAGGTGAACCAAATATTTTTATAAAGCAAGTTCATCAAGGCCATTCGTATAATAATCTAAGTCCTAAATATCCTAAATATAATGATGGAGTGGGCAGTTTCGAACTCATAATCCAAAGGTCCCTGGTTCGAATTCTGAGCAAAAGGAAAACAATTAATTAAGTGCGCTTTTCAGGTAGAAATAAACGGCAAAGTGTGCATTTTCATAGAAACTAAAAAGGACGACTATATAATTTCCAGTACTGAAAGAAGCTTTTTTTATTTTATACGTTTTGTAGAATATCCATACAATCTCCATATTATATACAGATTACATACTTTTTGCATAAAAATCGATATCCACGGACACGGGCATTTATATATATCCAATGGTTATCCAATGGATATCCAGGATGCATATAATACCTTTTTCTTAACTCAAAAACCTCGTATTAATAATACAATTGACAAAATACCAACTTGGTGCACTCTAAATAAAATAAAAATAAACTTAAAAAAATTAATTAATAATATAATTAACAAAATACAAACTTGGTGCACTTAAACTTCCAAAGTTAACTTAAATCTCTAGGTATAATTATTGACTCGGCACTGAACTGGAAAGACAATGTTAACTTCTTATGTAACTATTTAAGATCAGCGTGTTATTATCTAAGAGTATTAAAATTAAAATTAGTATGGATACGCTCAAAATGGTTTAGTTTAGTTATTTTGAAAGTAGATTAAGATATGGCTTAATATTCTGGGGCTCCTCAATAGTCTCTTCAAAAGTATTTATTTTGCAAAAATAAGCCTTAAGAATAATTTTAGGTTAAAAAAGGGAAAGTTGAAAAGAATATTTTAATTTAAATAACATTTTGACATTCCCCTCCTTGTTTATTTTTGAATGTTTAGTTTTTGTTATAACAATAAAAGTGATTTTTTAACTCAAACCCGCATCAAAAAGGTTTAATTATATGCGAGGCAAATAACACCAGCCTATTGAAAAGGAGAACTCTGTATTTGGGCCCAAAATTTTACAATAAGTTGCCTGCACATTAGATCTCAAAATTTAAGAAATTTCAAATCTTCATTAAAACAACTACTCATATCATGAATTCTTGAATGATGATTTTTATTGAGGATCAGGTGTTTCATAGGAAATTTTCATTGTATTTCTTAGGTGATTCCTATTTAATTTGCACTTATTTTATTTATAAGGTTATATGCATATCCTTTTAATAATATTGTAAGAAATTGCCTATTTTTCTGTACAACCTTAGTTGTTTTTAAAAATAAACTTATTATTTATTATTATTCATATATTAATCGATCAACAAGAAAAACCTTCGAAAATAAAAATTGCATCGATCATGCTTTTATAAAAATAAATGACAAACTTAAAAAAACCATTATAACCCCTATTATTCATAGATCACATATTACCGACCGTTATAATATTTTAATTAATATTTTCAACAATTTTAAAATTAAAACATCTAAATTTGAGTTCAAACATTTAAAACTTAAACTTCAAGGTAAGGACTAAATATCCTGTTAATTTCATATTTCTATATAACATACATATAAAATGGATGAAATAATGCGACTTAATATTTCAATATTTTTCTCCTTTTAAAGCTACTGTATAAGCTTCAAAGATGAAAATAACAAAACCAAACTACCAGGCATTTAAGCATCAAGGTAGGAATTAATTATCCTGTAAATTTCATAATTCTATTTGGAAGTCAACATCCTCATATAATGGCCTAAATAATTCGATTTTCTAGAATTTTAAAATTTCAAGCAATTTTTTTGTTAGGAAACCGTATGCCAACCGGGTCAATTGTAAGTTTTATTTTGTCTTTGGTATGTTAACTTTATATATGAAAAAAATTAGCTGTTTATATTAAACAGCCGAAATATGGGACGCATTTAAAAAACACGAAAAACTAGTAAAATACACGTTTTTTCAGCACCGTGTAATTATTTAGAAATATTAATTGAGTTCATTTATATTTTTTTATAAAAACTACTATTTCTTAGCTTTAAAATGACATCTTAAAATTTAAAATATCTTTAATAAAAAAAAAATTACAGCTTAAATTATTAAAGTATAAAAATGACGTTTTTAAAAAGTTTTAATTCGATTAGGCCGGATTTGACACAAGCGAAAATATAAATAAGGGTTGATTTTGTCCTTTGGGACCCTAATAAATATTTCTATAAAATTTGAGCAAAATCCAAGATGTTCGAGCAACGAGTTTCGGCGTTTTCGTATGGATTGACTCTTTTGCAAAAGTAGGTGAAAACAGAAAAAAAACATAAAAAAATAATTATTTTTCCGATATACAAATAGGTCTATAGGTCAATAGGTCAAATTTCGAAACCTAATATTAATATCAAAAAATCAATATTCTTAAAGCCTGTTAGTAAGAAAGAAATTTTAAAAATAATACAGCACCTGGAATAGACAAAATAAACACAAAAACTATTAAAATAAC